GCACACAAACACACACACATACATACATTTGTAACATAGATACATCTTTTAAAAACTAATTCTCCATTGATTTTTAAACAAGGGAATGAAAACAAAAAGGAGGAGCAGGCATTTCACACAGCACTTGAGATGTCTGCACCTCACACCAAAGTACCTAGGTTCAAGTCCCAGCTTAGGTCCCACCCCAGCTTGCTTGTAATACCCTCCCTGGGGGACAGCCGGAAATAATGAATATTTGCATCCCTGCCACCTACTTGGTAAACCTAAATTGAGTTCGGACTTCTAGCCTTAGCCTGACCCTATTCAGTTTTTGTGGACCTTTGGCAAGTGAACTCGCAAACAGAAGATCTGTCTGTCTCTCCGCTTTCCAAATAAAATTATTTAAAAGTAACATTTTTAAAAAAACAGAAAATTAAGATACTGCATTTTAGACAGTCATGATGGACACCACTTGCAATCAGGAAGTACCTGACAATCATAAAATGAAAAATAAAACATTTATTTCAGAAGTATAAATTCATTAACAATTTTATTTGAAAAATTACTTTCTTCTTTGTGTGGTATGTAAAGTGCACTCAGCAGTATGTTGAGGAGCTTGTAAGAGGGAGACTGATCAAAAGATAGATGAAACAGATTTAGAAGAGGGTGGATATAAAGTTAGAATTTCTGAGTCATGAAAACATCAGACAGCACTTTCAGAAAGGTGTAACTTTATTTAAAAACCAAGCTGCTGTGAACTCCATCCTGCTGCAGACACCTCTGAATTAACAATCTCTGTTGCCAAATTTTTATGCTGACAAATTCTCACATAGACTGGAAATTTCTATTTTGTAAACAAGCAAATGGGTTCCTGATGGTCTAACGTAAATCCTGAGCTACAGTTTTAGGAACAACCCTGGGTTGAATCGTCTTGTAATTCTCCTGTTAATACAGAAGATCAAACTATCAGCAAATCAGACAGCCACTATAAAAATGAATTTACTATGAAGACTGATATTCTTCAAGTTTGGCACTTTCAAACACTGCATCATTCGTGTCATTGGCTTGATTCCTTGAGGAAGAGTAGTATTGTGCCTTTCTTTTAAAAATACTTACTTATTTAAAAGCCAGAGTGACAGAGAGGGAGAGAACAATAAAGAGATCTTCCATTTGTTTCATTACTCCCCGAGCAGGTGCACAAGCTGAGGTTGGGCCAGACCAAAGCCATGTGCCTGGAACTCCTGGTCTCCCACATAAGTGAGAGAGGGCCAAGTGCTTGAACCATTATCTGCTGGCATCTCAGCTCACTCACACAAAGTAGGATCAGACAGTAAGTAGCTAAAATGCAAACCAGCGCTATGATGAGGGACCAGGGTCTTAACGTACCATTATGACCGGGTCTTAACGTAACACACCATAACGCCGGTGTTTGGTATGACAGGTTAGTCTTCTTCAAAAGCGCTCTGTTTTCACCTATATCCATAATAGGATAACCAGGGCAGTGATCCAGGAACTTCCTGGCCAGGATGTTTGATGTATTCAAGGGTGTGTGATCTGTTTCCCTGCTGCTGGTTCAGTCACTCAGAGGCTCTGGCTGTGTGTTTGGATCACTACTCCCAACATCAAAGGAGGATTCACAGTCATGCAGCTGCAAGGAAAATCCCCAGTTCTCCCAGCCAACAAGCAGGTGAGCAGCATTTCTGTGCCAAAGACTTTACAACAAGCAAAGTGCACCTAAAGAACAAAACTTGGCACAGGCATATAACGAAACATATACAAGGGACAGCACAGCATTGTCCAGAAAGTAACATGAAACTTGGAAACAGGGCATGCTGGGACAGCAAAATGGAATGAGATACTTCTTTAAAGCCTAATATGATATCTAGCATACAGTTTTACCACTATCATTAGTTCCTGGTTGTCCTGTCTCTTGTTTAATTTCAATTTGCATAGAGCCATCACCTACATGTCAAGAGGAACTGGAGTCCACAGAAAAGCACCTTCCTGCTTGATGAACAGAACGTACCCAAGGCAAATGTAATTTATCCTGACACAGCCATACTTTGTAAAGGGCTGGGACCTCTATTCCACAGACAAGATGCCTCTTTATGGCCCTTCAGCCTGCCATCTGGGAGTGAAGAGGAGACTGGGGACGCCAACCGGGTCCCAGACTCACTTCGCACCACTTCTTACCATTTCTAGATGCTTTCAGTTCTCCACTGCACTTCCTGTATGGTAGTGATTTCATGAGGAAAGAAGAGGATTGGGCGAAAACAGCCTGAATCATCCCACCAAAGTCCTCGATGTTAGCAGAGTCCAGTCATGTGAACACTGAGTTTTCTTCCTGTCTAAAAAGCTAGAGAGATGATAGGCATCCACACCTATGAACATGGGTCTGCACAGTGTTGTCCAGGTCACTGAAGACGTCAGCCAGGACTAGACCTGGGTTAAACTGCAATATTTTCTAAAGAAGAGGAAAATTAATCAAGCATTTTCAGCAGATATAAAAGACAAAGTAGGTTAAAAATCAGGGCCTGCTCTCCACATTCATGCCCTCTCTTTTCCCTCTTTCCCTAAACATACATACCAAGGGTACTTCAAAAAGTTCTAAGAAAACAGAATTCTGGACAAGTTAATCTTGGTTTTTAAAAAAACCGAAAACCCATGCACAGATTTTATAATTCATATTCTCCGAGAAATTTTTTTTAAAAGACCTGCCTAACACATGAGTGTGTTCACAATCCCTCTAAGTGGAAAATAAATGCAGTTTATAATAAATCATGGTCATCCCTTCCTACCCCTTTGCCTGCTAGGAATGAATGTCTGATTTAGGATAGCAGATGCCAGCAGAAGGCAGAGGAGTGTGGGGGAAGATCCTGTGTGTGCTTATATAGGGGAGGTGTGTGATCAGATATCCAAAGACAGCAGCTGCTCTACCTGAGGCCACTCTGGTTGAACAAAAAGCCTTTCACATCAGAGCCCACCGGCAGGGTAAAAATCCACTCTGCAATGCTGCCTTGGTCTGCAGTGACACGGCAGATGCTAAACTTCGGCGTGTGTAGAACAGTTAATTAGGTTACAGAGGCTGCCAAAAATCTCAAAGTCATCCGACGAAAATGCAATACCTAGAGATCTGAAATAAAGGTCAGAGGAGGCAAACAGCAACCTCACTTTCAAGAAGACAGAAACAAACAAATATGGGGTTGGGGCGGGAGGGAAGCAAGCTGGTCCTTGACAATCTGGCAACTTCTTGTCCATCTTTATCAAGAAAATGGAAGTCAGGCATTAAGTAGTCCTGGCTAAGGAAAACACTACTCTAGCCACTGTCTACCGGAAACCTGACCAGAGCCAGGAGCTCAGTCCACACCCCTTGGGACATCAGGGACCCTTTCAAAAAACCTCTTCTTGGGAGGCAGTGTTTTCACCTGGGAATAAGGAGCTCGGCCACAGGGCAAGAAGACAAATTTGCCTTTCATAAAAATTCCCAAAGCCTGGGTCTGCTTCAGGCTTCCAGGCACGTTGCAAGTCAAGAATGGTGTGTGACGCCTCAGCCTTAAAAACCTAAAGACCTAGTTCTTCGCCAGCGATTTCCCCAGAACGTGTGTGCCAGGAATGGGATGACCAAGTACACAACACAACACAGGATTTCACTGCCACCAGCAGGGCCCAGAGGAAGTGCAGGCGCGCCCAAGGCCTGGGGCTGCCCAGAGTAGGCACGCCCCGCCCTGGTGAGGACCAAGCAACCGCCAACAGCCTCGCTGGCGTTCCGCCCCCTCCTCCAATCTCACCCACACTACCAAAGCCGCCCCTCCCTTTCAGAAACAGGTGTTCCCACACCAGAGCTCAGGACACCACATTCCGGAAACCACACCCCAATCAAGGCTTCAAAAGCTCCCCTTTCATCAGCCCTCCCTCTCCACTACACAATACAGGGTTTTTGTTTGTTTGTTTTGTTTAGTCTCCTCTGCGGGAGCTGTAGAATGCGGCTGGAGGCGGGTTTTTTTTTTTTTTTTCTCCTTCTGCATCTTCTGTCACCTCGGAGGATTGGACCCCAAGCAGCACTATCCCGCATTCTCTCTGGTCACCCAGTGCAGACTTGGAAAAGCTACTGAAGCGCTAACACGGAGCCAAGACCCAAGCACATCACCAGCCCCCTCCCTAATCCACAGCCACCTGCATTTTGCGGGCAGTTTCGAAGCGGAGGACGCTGTGGGGCGCTCCCTACATCCCGCACCTGTCCGCTCAGCCCAGGCGCGCGCGCCAAGCCTCGCGGGGCTCCAGGCTTCCTCGCGGCCGGTGAAGAAAGCGCCTGGGCAGAAGCAGGAAGGAACCCGCTGGGCCTCAGAGGCCTGGAGAGAGCTCCCCGCAGAGATCCACTCTCGGAAAGGTCCCGCGTCCACGCGGCGAGGAGCACGTGAGCTGCGCGACGTGGCTATAAAAACCCCAGGTCGGACGCGCGTGCGGAGCGATCGCAGCCGCGGGAGCGGTCAACTCAGCCACGAGAGACTCGGCGGCGGTCTGGAGATCTGACGCTTCAGACCCTGAGTCCGGTCTCAGGTGTCTGAGTTCAACTTTGAGGTCGAATTCCCCGCACGTGAGCAGAGCAGCGCAGACGCCCGCACGCGTTGATTCCCCCAAATGCTCAGGACTTGTTTGACCTTTAGGAGAGTTGGAGGAGTGTCAGCAGTAGGACTCTCCGGCTGAGTGGTGTCTGATCCTCTCCCAAAGAGGCAGCCTTCAGCATTAGTGCTCGTGCAGCCGGAGCCCGGGAACCTCCCCGGGCAGCCCCCAAGATCCCCCACCCACCCACCCACCCCCCAGCATCCAAGCCCCCAAACAGCCCAGTCATCCGTGCGCCACGAGGCGGAAGCTTCCGATTAACCCCGGACGCCTTCGCGCAGATAAAGTTTGATCTGCACCCGCTCCGTGCCCGCCGCCTGGCGGCCCCCGCCTCCCTCGGCGGACGCGGGTGGGGAGGTGGCCGCGGGCTGGGCAGCCGGCGCCGGCGCTTCCCGGCGCGCAAATGTGAGCCACGCGCGTAAGCTGCAGCCACGCTGACCTCCCGCTGCCGCCGGCTGTGGCGCTCAACACCGGCAGCGAACCAAGGCAGACGCGCAGAGGTGGACAGCGGGCGGCGGTGACCTGGGGCCCTGGGGTCCGCATGGCCACTCCCCGCCTGCCAGGGGTGTGCACCAAGGAACTCGCCGGCAGCGCCCCGGGCTTGCGGCGTCTCTGAGTCGCGCCGCCTGAGGGGATCGACCCAGCTTTGCCGCGGCCCCGCGGGCAGGAACCTGAGGAGCACTAGGCGGCTGTTCCTCTCACAGGGCGATGTGGCCGGCCGGAGCGAGCTCCAAGCTGCCCTGCCCCCGGGACTCTGCGCTCCGGCGGGCAGCTTTCTCCGGGAACCTGGCGGCCCTGCCTTCTCACCTCGTGCCCGCCGGCCGCAGCGTGCGGGTCTTCATCAGCGCCAACCCCGAAGGTGAGTCCCTTGACCCCAGCTCCCGCGTCCCCGGCGTCCGCCCGTCCTTCTCTCTCCGGTCCGCGCTACGGGAGCCGGCGAGTGTGCAGCGCCGCGGGTGCGCCCGTGCCTGCCGCGGCTGCCTGGGCGCGTGGGGAGTTCATGCGAGTCACTTTTCTTTCTTGTCGAGCCCACTCTGCCTGCTGACTTCTCCTAGGTCACCCGTTTCTCTGTCCTCAGGGCGAGCTAACAAACGCGTGCGGTGCCAGCAGACGTTTCTGGAAGCATTCCGCCCGCACTGCCACAGCCACCCTCTTTCCTTACCGGTTCTTTTCGGGATTCACCAAGAGCGGCTCCTCCTGGCTCTGACTGTGTGGGGGGCTCCAAAATAAGCGTTCTCACTCCTTACCTTGGCCGCTTATTCCGGGCGAGGAGAGCCTGGGGTTCCCGCAACCTCACCTGAAACTCTGTGCCTTCTAAGGGCGAACAGCTTCAGGGAAGCGACGGCCGAAAGGGGTCGAGAGGAAGGGGGCGCCACGAGGTCCAAAAACCGGCTGCGCCCCTGAGTCGGGTGGCCAGGCCGGACCTGGTGTCTCTTGGGTCCGGCCGCCTCGGACTGACCCTGGGTAGTGGAGTGGTGGAAACTTGTTGCGGTCTCCGCGGCCGAGCATCTGATAGTGGAACCCTCATTACTACCCTGAACCCTAAAACTGTTAGCTTCTTAGTAAGTGGAGAATAAATCTGCAGGACTGGGTTTTTGTCTAAGAGAAGAAAAATGTTCTTCCATAAGGTGCTGAATGTTTAATCTTGAAATTGCCCTGTGACTCTTGAAACTTTCTGTGCTCAAGGAAGCCTTGGGTCAAATTTTTAAGAAAGAAAGAAAATCATTGGGAAAGAGTCCTCATTTGAAAACTTAAGACCCATTGCTCACGGAACCATTCAAAGAAGATCACAAAAAGTAACTTTCTAGATATGTCCATCTCTCAAAGTTGGTACTGTTAAAGGTTTAAGGTGACTCTCAGGTGCTGACATGGAAATTGGGAGAATGACAAGGACATGTCCTAGGATTCAAAACAACCCCAGACATTTGAAGGAGATTGTTGCTTTATCCGATTATAACTCACTTTCATAAGGCTTAATTAAAGAGGATTTTAAAAAATAGATATGTCTTCTGGGATTTTTGTTTTATCTAAATCTGCTTTAAAAAAAAAAAAAAACAACCTGGAGCTATGCCACCCATTTTAGGAGGTATCCTACTTACATTTCAGTGGTATTTTTTAAAACATGCTAGCAATATTTTAAAGTGTTGGTAAGAATCGTGTTAGAAAATGTTTAATCTTGAAATTTCCAGTTCACTGGAATGTGAAGTCTCATGAGATATGTTTAAATCTGCTAATGTGCAGCCAACTAAATCATTCTTTTCTATTGAACAAGTTACAGTGAAAATTGACTCACATTTAATGTTTTTCTTTATTAAATATGCCATTTCTGGGATAAAAATAGTTGTGTCAGCTTACTATTAATGATTAGTGTCATTTTTTTTCTTAAGCCTTTTCAAATCTCCTCATTTCCTGAAACAAAAACTTTAGCTTTATTAATCCTAGGAAAGTTAAAAGGAGGGTGGAGCCACTTGTGCTTTTTGGTCATGGTTGAAGTCGGGCTGCTTTCCACGTTTAGAAAACCAGGAATGTGAAGATTACCTGGGAAATTTCTATGGGAGCAAGACGTCCAATTTGATCCAAACTGGAGAGCTAAAGATACATGGAGCTAAAAAGACAGGACAAGATATCTAATCATGTGAACATGAAGCTTTAAAAAATTGGTAAATGCTCTGTAAGAAAAAGCACTTAACTATGGGATCTTCTGGTCCAATCCAATATTAGGTTCTTGGCCAATGCTGAAGAGCCTCTCCATTGTCAAATTAAGGCAAAGAACATTATCTCATAGCTTTCTTTAGAAACGGAAATCCAATTTGTGTTCCAGATATAAGCTGCTTTGTGTTGAACTTATTGTGGTACTCCAAGAATCCGGCAAGGCTCTTTCTTATTGTTTTAATAGCTGTTGCTTTATGGGGCTTGTATGGAATTTCCCCCAATGAAGGTAATACATGGCTTTAGGATGGAAGATTGCGCTCCCATTTTATTAGTTCATTTAATAGCATAATTTAGATTTCTGTCCTCAAAAAGCCCTCTGAGGGTGGTAGACCAGGGAGGTGCTCCCTGTTTTGCAAGTAAGAAAATTGTACGAAGGCTAATTGCCAGAATTCTTGCAACAGAACCGAACTTGAGGTAACCTGTAGGATACTCAAAACACCTCTCTGGAACTTCTTGGCCAGCCTTGGTCGGCAGCAGATCTTGCTGAGATGCTTATAGCCACAAAGAAAGGAGGTAAGGCTGATCAGTGCTGTCTGGTGTCTTCTGGCTGCAAGCTTTGAGCATAAAAAGCTGGGAGGAATGATGACTACCCTGGCTCACTTCACTTCCATGGAGAAGGAAATCAAGTGGACAGTCAAGGACATTTCAGAGCATGATGGACTATGCTGGATACACTCCTGTCCAGAGTGCATCTGCAGCTGGCCAGTCTGTATCCTGGAAGACACTGGAGAAGGACCCACGTCCTTGGAACCCATGTCTCTTGTCAGGGGGCCGCAGCATCCCCGGTTCACTTAAATGGGTGTGCCTTGCACCTCATCTAGTTGTTTCTCACCCAACACAAAAATCACAAACGTGTCTCATCTGTTTGAAATCTTGGAGGTTTTCTAGTTATTTTGTCCATGCCTTTCAGAGTGGTGCCTCTATTTTCTCAGAACATCAGTTCTAAACCAGACATGATTTCTGTGAGTAGCCAGTATGGCCAAAGATGAGAGTTGCCTGCACAAATGTCTGTCACTGATGCTGGGGGACCCTCCACTTAGGATAAAGTCTTAACACTCAAGGCAAGCCAAGTCATTTGCTTTAGTATTAATGAACATTGATACAGGTCCACCATCCCTAGTCTGTGATTCTGTGGGCTAGATGTTCTTGTACAATTATTTTTCAGAGTTTTTTAGAGATGTGCGTTTATATGGTTTAATATATGGGGTCAGTGTAATGCCCTTCATCAGAAATACATCTGTACGAGAAGATGACTTAACTATAAAACAGCATTGTACAGAAATAGAAATGTTTTTCCCTGTATAGCAACAGTCACAAACAGTTGTTAAACACTTGAAATGTGCTAGTATGACTAAGAAGCTAAACTGTTAAACTTTAAGTTTAAATAAGCAAGGTGGACTGCTGGCTATTGTATCAGACAATCTGTGAGTGGAATATTAAAGCATAAGTAGCTGCATGTCAGGTAAGGTCAGATCTGGTCATTTATAACTAATCTGATTTTAAGTTTTTCTCTCACTTTGGAGAAAAACTTCACAAAGCTTTGGCACATTTGCGATTTTAGGTAAGGAATTTGAACCTTTACTGGAGAATGAAGTTTTAACTCTGAGCAAATGAATTTTGTAATATTGAACCCCAGAATTATAGACTCACCATCCCAGTCACTGCCAGTAATGCGAGGGCAACAGACCTCAACCCCACACCCTTTAAAGCATAAAACATGGAGGGCCAGTGGAAATATACTTTCCAAAAGGAAAGAAAGGGCTGCACTGTTATGCTCAGCTATCCTATCAAGACATTTCTCCCCTGAGCAGCAGGTGACAGTGTGTACTGCCCAAAGCCACTGTACCCATGTATCTTCATATAAAAATACATCTGGAGTAGAGGAAAAAAAACCAGCAACAACAAAAGCTGTAAAATTGTATGTGTCTTTTTTCTGCTTGCTTGAATTGTACTGCTTCTCTTTGAAAGTTGTACACTCTTGTATGTGATGTTTTATGTTCGGACCATTTCCTCTTAGAATTCTTGCATCTGCATGACTGAGCATCTTCCTGGACTCTTCTCCGTGCTAGGAAAGCTTGTTCTACATGTTGATGGAAGCCACAGCAGACATGCCTGTCCTTCCTAGCTATGTATAGCTTTAGTTGTGCAACCACTGACCCTTCACTTTAGTTTTCATATCCACACAAGAGACAGTAAGATTTGCCTGTACATGTTCACATATAATTTACTATTTCTTTTGTTTTTGTTACCATCCTGATTATTTTCATGACTTTCTGTTTTGTCATCATCTTTATGAGTAATCAAAAAGATATACAAAAACAACAACATCCTTAAATATTCACTGTCTTAAGGAATAAAGTGACACATTACATTTTATCATAAATATGTGTAAGACGTTTATTATGGTAAATCATACATTTTACTGATAGGCAGCGGATGTTGTGGTGCAGCTGGTTGAGACACCCCATGGGACGTTCTCATTGTCTATCAGTGTCTGGATTCAAGTCCTGCCTCTGCTTCTGATCCAGCTTCCTGCTTATGCACATGGGAGGTAGTTGATGGTGGCCCATGGATTAGAGTGCCTGTCAACTCCTGGGAGACTCAGATGGAATTCCTGACTCCTGATGTGGTCCTGGCCAGCCCCAGATTGCACAATAAAGAGTGATATCTTACAGAGCATTTACCAGAGTTTTAGGAATTTGAAATGTGATCATTAACAATGCAAAAGGTAAGACCCAGTTTGATGGCTCAAAGGCTATATCTTCCCCTTGCAAGCACTGGGATCCGATATGGGTGCCAGTTTGTGTGCCAACTGCTCCACTTCTCATCCAGCTCCCAACCTGTGGCCTAGAAAAACAGGTCCTGGGGACCTTGCACCTGTGAGGTAGACCCAGAAGCTCCTGGCTTTAGATCAGCTCGGCTTCAGCCATTATGACCACTTGAGGAATGAACCAGTGGATGGAAGATCTTTCTCTTTGTCTCCCCTTCCCTTTGTAAATCTGCCTTTCCAGTAAATAAAAATAAATAAATCTTTAATAAAATAAAAATGCTGAATGCTCTCCAATCTGTGACCATTTGAGGAGTCAACCAGCACATGAAAGATCTGTCTCTCATTGTCACTCTGCTTTTCAAAAAAAAAAAAACTTA